AGCTGATGGCCTAGCACTCCATGGCTGGCAGTGCCGGGGGATCTGGGGCCGGGGACAGTTGTCACCCCATTGCCAGCCTCCCCAGGGGACCCTTGGCCAGCATGGGGACCACGGGGGGGACAGGGTCACTCACAGCCCAGCCGCAGGCAGATGGTGGCCCAGGTCTCGCCGGTGCCAGGGTGGTGGCAGCTGTAGGAGCCCTCATGGGCCAGGCTGGCGTTGGGGAGGGCCAGCCCAGGGGCAGGAAATGTCCCCAGGACAGTGTCCCCCCGGTGCCACTCAGCAGGGCCCCCCGCGGCGGCCGGGCACCGCAGCAGCACCTCGGTGCCCAGGGTGCCGTGCTGCAGGGTGCAGCGGCCTGGGGGACACGGCAGAGGGCAGGGGATGCACCCCCAGAACAGCCCCCCTGATCCCCTCAGTGATCCCAGCAGGGGGCTCAAGGGGACACATCACAGCTGGGGCAGGAAGGGTCTGTGCCTCCCTGGGCCCCCAACTCTGTTCCCAGCCCCCCGATGCCCCTCTCTCCCCAATGTCCCCAGGCCCTGTGCCTCTGTCCTTGGTCTCCTTATGTCCCCAGTCCCACCAGCATGTCTATTCCTCCATCACCAGTCCCCCCATGTCCCCAGTCCCACCGATGTTCCTATAGCTCCATCCTTGCTCCCTCTATCTCTGTCACCAGTGTTCCCAGTCTGCCCAACCCTGCTGCCTCTAGTCCCCCCAGTTTCCCCCAGACCTCCATTCCAAACCCCTAGTCCCTCTACAGTCAGTCCCCCCTGCCCCCTTAGCTCTGTCCCCATTGTCCCCATCCCCCCTAGGTCCCTCCAGACCTCCATCCCAGCTGCCCCAGTCCTTCCATCCCTGGTCCCACATGCCCCCCTACCTCTGTCCCTGTTGTCCCCATCCCCTGTGCCCGCTGTGCTGTTGTAGGGAACAGTGCAGGCAGGTGCCACCAAAGCCACCACCCAAAGCCACTTCATGGCAGGGAGACTCAGCAGAGCTGCCCAGTTCCAGGGACCTGGGGGGACAGGTGGGTCAAAGGCTCAAAGCTCAGGGCAGGGGACAGCAGGGTCCCCACAGGTCCCCAGGTGGTCCATTGGGTTCAAACCCACCTCCGGGCCACCCCACAGTGCTGTGCCTCAGTTTCCCCCTGGCTTTGCCAGACGCCCTGGGGAGAGGGGATGGGTTTGTCCCTGCAGAGGACAGATCCTGCTGCCAGGAAGGAGGAGGGAGCAAAAGCACCCTGTGCCACCAGGGTTCCCACAGGGACCTGCACTCACCCCTGCACTCCCGTGCCCATGTTTGGGATTTTAGGTCACTTTGGGTCTCGACCAGGGCAGGGGCCAGTGCCCTCAGCTGTCCCCCAGCTCCCAGGGTGTCTGAGAGGGACTGTCCCTCACTGAGACCCCCCCCAGACCCAGCCCAGGCACCGAGCTGAGCTCCCCACTGTCACCAAGCCCAGCCCTACAGGGACAAATCCTGCCCTCGCGGCTGGCTGAGCCCCGGGGGTGACATCCTGCCTTTCCCTGTACCACAGACGAAGCTCCCCATGTGCCCCCCCAACCAGGGGCTGGGGGGCTGCCCCCGGGCCCCCCCTACGCCCCCAGCCCCACGGGGAGCCCTGTCCCCCCTCACGCTCACCACGGCAGGGCCAGCAGCCAGGACCAGAGGATGTACACGGCGTTCCTAGCCGGGCTCAGCCCATTTCCTCGGGCAGGCAGCTCTGTCCCCCCCCAGCAGGGACCGCCCTGTCCCGGGGCCCGCAGGAAAACCATCCTGGATCTGCCTGAGAGGGTTTCAACCCTTCCCGTGCCCCCATCCTGCTTCCTTCATGTTCACCTGCTCCCAGCTGGGGACATCCAGGCTGGGTGGCCCCAGCCCCCTCCCATCCCCAGCTCCCCCAGCCTCTCCACACTCTGTGCCCACCCAGGGATGAACTGTCCCCTTGGTGTGAGTACAAATATTTTATTGCTGCTGTGCTGGGGTACGTGGGACACGGGGTGGCCAGGGCTGGGGTGGGGGTGCCTGTGCCAGTGACAAGGTGCTGCCCGCAGAAGCAAAGGGGGCTCAGAGGGTGCTGGCACGGGCCTGCCCCCCCAGCCGTGTCACTGGCTGTGCCACCAAGCCCTGTGGCACTGCCCTGTAGGGCAGGGGATCATCTGCCCTGCTCCTGCAGCCGCTGCATCCTCAGGATCTGGCACAGGAGTCTCTGCACGTCCTCGTCCATGTGGCCCTGGCGTGGAGGGGACAGGGGAGGGGATGTCACAGGGGACATCGGGGAGTCTCTGTGCGTAGCCCAAGGATCCCTGGGTTGGCACCTGGATCCAGCCCCTTGCTGTGTCCCACACGCCTGTGGGCATCCCCGTGGGGCTGGCTGGTACCCTGCTCCCCCCTACCAGTGTCCCCAGTTCCCCCACAGCCACGTCCCTCCCTCACCTGCACTGCATAGAGCAGGTGGCTCCGGTACAGTGTTACCACCTTGCTGTGCCGTGTCTCTGTCTCCTGCAAGACAGCAAGTGGGTTTGAGCACAGGGTCAGAGGGTTGTGGCAGCTCAGAGCCCACCAGCCCATGGCCACAAACCCCCAGAACCCACCAGGCCATGGCCACAAAGCCCCATTACCCACCACCAGCTTCTCCTCCAGCGCCCGGATCCTGGCCTGGAGCGCGGCAGTGTCAGGGGGTGACTGTGCTGGTCCCCGGGGCTCAGGGAGGGCGTTCAGGGCTTCCTTCAGCCTGAAGACCTCCTTGGAGAGCTCAGTGATCTGCACACCCCCAGCTTCTCCTCCAGCGCCCGGATCCTGGCCTGGAGCGCGGCAGTGTCAGGGGGTGACTGTGCTGGTCCCCGGGGCTCAGGGAGGGCGTTCAGGGCTTCCTTCAGCCTGAAGACCTCCTTGGAGAGCTCAGTGATCTGCACAGTGCACAGAGATGACAGGGAGCCCTCACAGACTCACTGATTCCTTTGGTGTGAAGGGACCTTCAAGACCATCCAGTCCCAACCCCATGCAAGGGCAGGGACACCTCCCACCAGCC